GGAGGAGGAAAAAAGGGGATTTGCAACGTTACTGCCTGACACAAAAATCTGCGATTATTCCTGTTTTTCCTCTACCTGTGAATTCAGTAATAATAGATTTATTTGAAAGCAACATATGCATTGCTGATCATTGCTAAGCACCCTAGTTTTCCAGTTGCACTACTTACACCAGAAACACCAGAGCAGACGCAGAGTGGGTGATGCTGATACGTTTGGGATTTCACCGAAGTGCTTATTTAAAGCTACATAGCTGCATTTTATTTGGAGGAAAAGTGTTTAAGATAATGAATGGATGTTCCCATTTGCTTTTAAACCTCGAATAAAATGGGTGCAAGTTAAAAGTGATGCGGGTTGACAAAGCAGCAAGGATTGACAAACACGATAATGTTCTTAGAATTTAAATCCCATCTTTCCTCCTTTTCTCTCAAACCACTTTATCATTTTATAGAGGACTTTTCAGCGATGTTTTTCATTAAAAAAAGTTAGAAATTAAATGGGTCATGTGTATTTAATCAGACCTGTCTGACAGACAGAAGATGTCACGAGAGGCACGAGAATTCATCCGAGTTGAGAAGCAATGGATCAGTCCCCTTTCCTTTTGAGGATTTCAGTAGTATTGCTGTTTAATAAATGTTTTTTCACCACAGCATGAAACGCGCTTAGCCCAGTTGCCACCAGGTGTGTACCACAGAGTTTGTCTGTAGTGGCACTATCTTCACCATCGGCAGCGCTGATAAGGATTACTGATCTTTGGACTTATTAAAGGGACCCCTGACTTGAAGTGGCAGATCAGACCGGCTGGATGAGCCCTAGCATGAAATGCCCTGCTGCTGCCTGGGCTGAATGTGCATCACGCCACACTGCAGCAGGGAGAGACACCCAAGCTAAGCACTGAACAAGTTAGTACCTCTACATAGCACGATGCAGCAGAAATACTGGCTCAAGTCCTGGACATCTTTTTAGAGTTAATTAGCTGGAGCAGACCATTGCACCAATGAATGCATGCTGCTGCAGCGGTGGCTGGAGTACCTTATTTGTGCCAGCTTTGCTATCTTTGCACAGGGCTCTGCTGATAGAGCCCGACAGTAGGTAAAGAAATCCTTACAGACCTGACTGTCATGTAAACACCAGTGTGGAAGTGTGGGGATGAAGTCACAGAAATCCTCCTCTGTTAAATTGCAGTTTAGCTGTGCAGGACTGGATCAGAAGAGTGTTCAACAAATCAGACAGTCGGCAGAGGGCAGCTAAGTTGCTCTCCCTGTCTGCTACCTGTCCAGGTACTCTGCTTGCCCTCCTCCCTCCGTACCTTATCTTTGCAAGTTTACTGCTGATCCCTAAAAGAGGGTGCCCAAGGGCATGCTTTCTGCATGGCCTGCTGCTCTGCCGTCGGGGTGTGCGCTCCACTCTGGGACAGGGGCTGCGTGCTCCCTGCAGCCGTACCACAAGGGGTGAGCTGATGGCACAGTTTCGATTGCAGTTTATGATCTCTCTGGGTTTCTTAAAAGAGAAATTTTTTTCAAAGAAATAGGTGGGAAGAACTTAAGTATCAACTGCTTGTTGATACACCACCACCACCACCATGCTTTTTTTTCCCCGCTCCTTTTCTTTTCAGCAGTGCTGACTTGCTGTGTTCCAGGACCTCTGTGGTTTTCTCTATACCAAAATAATTTTTTTCTTGGCTGTAGCCTGTATACAGACATGGCTAAAATTACATGGTATGGTGGCCACATTTTAAATATGTATGCTACTTCAACAGAAGCAAGTAGATCAGTGGTAGTAGATGCTGTTACTTTCTTACAAGCTGAAGATGTGAGCTGTGCAGACTACATCCCAGGACGTGCAGACCATGATTGCTAGAAGAAAATACTATTGCTAGTTAACCGTAGTGACTTGAAAGGAAAAGCCCTCTGACAGAAGAAGCAGTTAAAACAACATTCTTATTTTCTCCATAATTATATTTAGAGGCTGTTGTCCTAGGCCTGATTATTCTTGCACAGCATTATACACGTGCCCCATTTATAAAGCTAGGCAACTGTACAGCATTTTTCTGTAGATTTTTAGAGAGTTAGAAGGGACTCTCCAGTTGTGGACCAGATTCCTGCTTGTCCTGTGTATGTGTAACTGCTGACACTGTTGGTGTACATAGGGATATTTTAAATCATGGTTTGTGAAAAATAACGTTTCCTGATTATCATGCTTCATGTTACTGTAAAAGCATATAGAAGTAAATACACTGGGAAAATGGAAATGCTTCATCATACCATTTGCCAATTTTTCAGCCTTTAAAAAATACTAAGCGCAACTGTTGCATAGTGAAACGTAGTGTCAAAATGATGTTTGAAAAGGGAGAGAGAGGTCTGACTTCAACTGGAAAGATGCAAAGAGAAAAGAGACAATTTTTTATTATTTTTTTAGATTACAAATTCATTTCTCTCTAATGGAGTGTCCTACCTTCCCAGACTGCCCTTTTCTTCAGATCTTTGTCAAGGAGGAGTGAGCACTTCTCAGGGCTGTGGGGGTTCATTCCCATAACGCATGCAGGTGTGCAGATGGAAGTCCTGCCTTGGATTTCTAGAGTGAGTGATAAAATCATCAGGTTGTATTTGAAACGAGTGAAATATACTTTTTTAGTGGTACTTTTGTGGAGATAAGAGAGTTAGTACAGTAAGGGGTCCTTCTTCCACACTGCTGATTTCATGCTAAATTTAGGCATCTATGCGTATTTATAAATGTTAATCTACTTGTACAGCCTGGTATTACATACTTCAGGTTTTGCTTTTTTTATTTTTATATTCAGCTTCTGGGAGAGCATGAGGAAACAGGGCACGGCTGAATGACTGAGGTGCTGGTACTGTGCTGGCGTGAGAATGTCAGCCCGTGCCCTCCTGGCTGGCAGTGCCGGGGCATGTCCTCCTCACGCTCATTACAGCTGCAGGGGTTTTGGCTAGAGGACTGCTCACAGTGAACGCTATGCCCGGGGGAGATGTGTGTGTTGAGCAGGTGTTTCGTATGATTATGCTCTGCTAGAACATGCGGGTCCTACAGTGTAATGCTAAAATGTAATTTTCTGGAACAGTCTATGAAGTTCTTGTCAGTCCTTGAGGAAGAAAGCTCAAATCCAGCTCAGGAAAAAGCATGTGGCAGCCAGAGCTCGAGTTATCTGCCAGGTGTTTCAGCTAATGCCAGCATGGGGAAGATGATAACCAAAACCAAAGTCATTTTCAAAATCAGTGTGAGAGCTAGTATTTAAACTTACCCTAGTTTTAAAAGTGTGCCGTACACTGAGTTGCAGGTTCAGGAATGACTTCAGGGTCCTTTCAGTAGGGAAAAGCCAAGGAAAGCGCTGGTGCCACGTGCACTGGGTGAATGATGGGCTGGCGATGGCACCTTCCTTGAACAAACCCCAGCCGAAGGGTTAGGGTCGCTGCGCCGAGCTGCTGACATGGGCTTGGTCTCAGGAGAGTGTTACCACTTGGTACCTTTCCTGCAGGGCCTGCTATTGGGTATAAATTAAGTAACTTTTATTAGGAGGGGTAATTTAAGTGCTGACACTAAATACGTGAGCTAGGTTACTAGGGATATACGTAATTGTTTAGGACTAGCCTAATTTGTCACAGAACCTTACTGCCTCCTTTTTAGGTAAAGAAGAGTGAAGTTTACTTCATTTGAAACATGGAGGCATGGACGATATTGTGCCTTTTCTCTCTGTAGTCATTTGGGACCAATGCTATCGTTACATCTTTGCTAAAAGCAAATATTTTCACATTGCTGAATCTTCATTCTCATTAAATAGGTCATTATTTTCATGCCTTTATATGATAGCTGCCTGGCTTTCTATGCTAAAGATGTTATTTATTTATTTACTTGAACCTGCCATTGGAAGAAAAATGGAGGAACGTTAAATACGCTCCTCTCTTCCAGCTGAGGTGAATGCAAACTTGGCTTGAATTTCAAACAGGTCCTCATGCAATCAAATCCTTAGAGGTGCTCCTTGCTTTGAGGAAGGATATAATCTGCTTGGCTGTGATGACAAAGAAATAAGGTCTTTCGGAGTCATGTTAGGCAGAAATTTGAGAGATTTAATTTAGTGTCTTGCTCCATGGTAAGTTTTTTCCATGAGCTTGGACAATTCATTTGAGACTATGCTCATGTCTGTTCTTTATCTGTAAAGTGTGAGTAATTGCACATCTGTTAACTTGGAGGAACATTTTGAAGATAAAGTGGATTTAAGATTATGTGTATAATACCCATAATACCTGCGTGCAGCTAAAATATTAAATAGCTGATTAAATGAACTGCTATTTATGGATTTTCTGCTCTAAGAAGGAAAATGCTGAGTAACCTTATTAACTATGATAGTTATTTCTGTACTTTGTTGGTGTAAGTATGAGCAGGATTTAGACCTCTCTCTTAATTTCCCATTGTACAGATTATTGGAAGAAAAATATAACAGCAGGTCTTACCAGCTAAAACTGAGATTTTGAGTTCCAGTTGAATGCTGTCTCATTAGGAATGTAAATTGCTGTGGATGTTAGTTTATCATTCATACCAAGAAA